GGTTGCTGTGAGCTAGGCTGACGCCACGGCACTCACTCTAGCCCGGGCAAAAGAGTGAGACTCTGTCTCAAAAAAAAAAAAAAGCAGGTATTGTTCATCCTTATATCCAAGAAGCCTAACTCTGTGCCTGATGTGGAGTAGAGACTCAGTAAATATTTGTGGAACTGGCCACAGTGATAAGCCATAAGCTATGTAGCTTAGCATAGCTGCCTATGCAAATTTATAACCCCTATGATAGCAAGGCAGAAAGTTCTAGAAGTCTTTTCAGGGATGATGAGTCATTCATTGAACAAAAATGTATCACATAGCTGCTGTGTGCCAGATTTCTTTAGAAAGTTTTAGGTAAGCAGTTTTGTAGACAGAAGTCTGATATTTGAAAACCATTTATTATACTCCTGTGTCCTGGACACTGTTCTAGGTCGAGGGGAGCTGCTGAATAAGAAAAGCAGTCCTTGCTTTCCCAGGATGTACCTTCTTAGGGGAAGAGGCCAACAAAGTGAAATAGTGGTTGTCACAAGGTCACTGCATGGTGCTGAGGTAGCAAGAACACAAGCTCAAACCTAGTGAAGGAAGTCATAGAAAGTCTCCCCGAGGAAGTGATGTTTTAAATAAGTCATAGAAAGGTTAGGGACTAGCTAAAAGAGAAGAGAAAGAAACTTCCAGGTAGAAGAAACAAGTGTGAAGGCTCAAGTGAGGAAATATGGTATGTTTGAGAAATTGGAAAAAATGTAATGACAGGAGCTCACAATGGGAGAAGACTTCTGAGAAATGAGGCTTAGCAGGGTGGGCAGATTGGGAGGATTTTGCAAGCCAAGTTAAGGTGTTTGCACACCTTAACACAACCACATCTAATAGCAACAGGAACCCACTAAAGGAGTTTCAAGTGAAGAAATGGCCTATGGCCTTTAGTAGGATCACTTTGGCTGCTCAGTGGAGAATGAATTGGAGGAGAGCAAGACCAGAGATCAGGATACTGATGAGAAGCAGCTGCAAAAATCCAGGCAATAGAGTGTGGTGGCGCAGAACATGGTGACGGCAACACAGATGGAGAATGGGAGGATGATTAAAAGAGATATATAGGTGGTAAAATGGATAGGATTTGGTGGTGGATTTCAAAGAAGAGAAAGAGACTAGTGTGGTGGCTCATGCCTATAATCCTAGCACTCTGGGAGGTCGAGGCAGCAGGATCACTTAAGGCCAGGAGTTCAAGACCAGCCTGAGCAAGGGCAAGACCTTGTCACTACAAAAAATAGAAAAATTAGCTGGATGTGCTGGTGCACACCTATAGTCCCAGCTACTCGGGAGGCTGAGGCAGGAGGAGTGCTTGAGCCCAGGAGTTTGAGGTTGCTGTGAGCTACGATGACACCACTGCATTCTCCCCGGGGCACCAGAGTGAGACTCTGTCTCAAAAAAATCAAAAGGAGAAAAGAAAGAGGAGTCAAAAATAAGTCTTTAGTTTCTGGCTTGAGAAAATGGGTGGAAGGTAGCACCATCATCTGAGACAGGAAACACAGGAGCAGGTTTGAGAGGGAACGTGAGTTCAGTTTAATGTGCCTGCAAGACATTTTAGAGACTGTTGGATTAGAGGATATAGAATTCAGGAAAAGAGTTTAAATGTGAGAATCATAAAGTGCAGAAATAGAAGGCAGATATGAAGAATTTTAACTAGGTCATACACAAACAAAAATTAAATGAACCAACATATATCATTGCCTAAGATGAGCAGGGCTGTGGGAGGCAAAAAGATTTTTCAATAAGACACAGCACCTCCTCACAGAGAGTGTAGTGCAGTTATGGAGATAAATGTTAGCTGCAATACAGGGCACAGTGTGTGTAAACAGGAAAGAGCTACAAACCAAGTGCGGAAAAGAAAATGTTTTGGCAGTAGCTCTATGGAGGAATGGGCTTTGAACTGGGCCTTGAGGGGAGAAGGAGATGAGGGAGACGGACATTTCAGGCTTAGGGAATAACAAAGGTTGGCTGGGTGCAGTGGCTCACGCCTGTAATCCCAGTCCTTTGGGAGGCCAAGGCAGGAGGATTACTTGAGCCCAGGAGTTCAAGACCAGCCTGGGCAACATAGCAAGACCCTGTCTCTACAAAAAATAAAATAAAAAAAAATCAGCTGGGCATGGTGGCATGTGCCTGTGGGTCCTAGCTACTCAGGAGGCTGAGGTGGGAGGACTGCTTGAACTCATAAGTTCGAGGCTGCGGTGAGCTATGATGATACACACCACTGCACTCCAGCTGGGGCGACAGAGTGAGACCCTGTCTCTAAAAAAATGAAAACGAAAAAAAAAAAAAGACCAGAAAATTATTTTGAGGCAATAAGGAGAGTCCGAGTACCATGCTTAAGTGTGTGTATCATAGGCAAATAAGTGCTGTGAGAGAGCTGAGATGTGGATTAAGTCTTCTGAGTACCAGTTACATACTCAGACTTGCATCCATTGTGTGCTGGTTCTGTCCAGGCACAGCCCTAGTCATCTTCACAT